CTTTACATAGAGCAACCAGCACGTCTAGCTCTTTCATACCCTGAAGAGGTCAGTCTAGAAGCCACCTACGAAGCAGAGAAAAGGAGCTAACGAACCATAGGCACCCGCGATGTAGGAGCTTGGGCTTGCAAGATACCGTTAAGGGTATCGTTAGACGGGTGTGCGGGGCATAGTGACTGCTGGGCGAGTCGTGCGATGTCTGAATCGCTGCCGCATTCTGGTCCCTTGACTGCTAATGCCGCAAGCCTATTCAAAGCCGAAGCTCTGATAGTCGAGGGGCTACGGATCCTATCAGCACAAAACTTAACCATTAGACTTGCAGCTAGCCTACCCATCCATAGTCCCAGATTAATGCAGCTAGTTGGCGTTTATCGGCTTTAAGTGCGTGTGGTGACGAATAAACTGTTGTTTTCCAGAGCACTAATGTCAATTGCCAAAGGTAGCAAGGGGGAGCCCCTTGATAGGAGATTATGTGTTAGCGTCCCGCGGAGTACGGGGAGCTGGTTCCCTCCCGGAGAACCTCGGTACGGCAGACACGTGGGCCTCAAACGCTTCTGTGTTGCACTCATGAACATTCACTGTTTAGCTTTCATCTGGGGAAGGCGTCTCTTTAAGGAGCTCAATGCTTCCTTCAGAGACTTCAACGGCCAATAAGGAATTCATGCAGAGTTCTATCCGTCTTCACTTACATAGTGTGTTATGCTCCTATGCAGTGTTTGGTTGATAATAGTATACTATCATCTCCACTCAGATCCTGCAGTCTCTCTACTGTGTAAGCTTTTATGTATACCATATATAATAGTTTACGCCCATCAATCGCGACATGATCTTAAATGGTACCCAATTTCATTAGTGACTAAAAGTCGCTCAATGTCAGAGCCGGTATTACTCCATTCATTATTTGATTGATGACATCGGAGTCAACTTCAGAACCAACTACAAAGTACGTGTGCTACAGTATTCAAGTATTAGGCGTTTTGACCCTGTAGGTTGAGTCAAGAATGCTAAAGTCCATTTGGGAGGCAGAAATGTTCAGCTAAGTAAATTGTCTATGAGTATACATATCCTTCATCTCCGATTTAATTCCACACGTATCTATACAATGTGAGGGGTGCTGGGTCGAAAGCGGTGACAGTATTTATGATAAATGACGACTTAAGCCGTAAGGTGTTGCTTGGTGCGACCTACCCATACCGGGAGCTGAGGTACCACGCGCTCAAGGTTGTTTGTGACCTACTTCTATGTACACTGCAGCCTTGATTTGTTCTACAATAGATCGCTCTGTCATCTCTTTGCATTAGCCAAATCTAGGTTTTCCAGTGAAATTACTTTTTCGGTTCTCTTGCTGCCCCTTTGATTTGCTCGCCCGTATTTTCTCCAGTGTTCATACATACCCTCTTGACTTCTCCACTTGAGCATTTCCCCCCCCCCCCCCCCCAGCCTCGAAACATAGGAGAGACCCGGCGATATCTGCAGTGCTATTACTCTGGTTGCTATGCCTTATTTGAGTTTTGAGCCGTGCAAGCCAAACTGATTTTGTGACTATTGGTACTTGACAGATGTGAATCGGCAATAAAATGGCACCACAGAACGAAAAAAGCTCCCTCAAGCGTGGCAGAGTATGTTGTTACCATCAATTCCCTTGTGACTAATTGGACTGACGATGGCGTAAACATCTAGGCCTCCGCCGATAATGATTCACAAGATCTTAAAAAGCCACGACGCTCCGAGAGGAACAATCCCCAAAGCAAAGCACAGGCTTTAGACGATCAGTCCTATTTGCCTACACCCTTGACCCAACGAGATTCAACTGCCACAGACATCGAAAAGGAGACGACTGCTACACCAGATGAGCCTGGCCGAAAATTGAAAATACATCGGCGGACACCTTCAGATTCGGAACTCCCTCAAGATAGTTCATCACCTCCTAGCGATACACAAGCCCTTTCACAATTTGTTTACCCCCCTAGAGCATTTGCCGATGAAGTCGAAGACGAAGCTGCAGAGGGAGTCTGGGGATACCTTCTTCCGCTTGATGATAAGGTCCGCCGTCCTCTGGTACTGAGGAAACGCGGAGGATGCGAGGAGCGCAAATCCGCAGCATCTACGACTAACTCCAAGAAAGGGTCCGCGAAAACGAGTGCGGGTTCCGTTAGTAAACAAAAGAATTCACCTAGCGGCTACCTAATAGGCCGACATCCTGAATGCGGTAGGTATCCAGATCATATTGTCTTACAAACAATTAACGAAGCTTACCAGACCTGGTGATAAACATTCCTACTGTGTCGAATCGACATGCTTTGGTATTTTCCGAAAATAGGAAAGGCGATGCCGTTGCCTTTCTCCAGGATCTCTCCACTAATGGTACTTTTGTCAATGATGCAATGGTGGGCCAGAATAAACACCGTGAACTTGAAGATGGCGATGAGGTCACCATCCTAGATGAAGCACGTTTTGTTTTCAGATATCCTCGGACACGAGACACCAATCGTTTCCGCCAACAATATAGGCTTCTGCAACAGCTTGGGAAAGGCCATTTCGCCACAGTCTACCTTTGCGTAGAACGGTCTACGGGGGCTCAGTATGCCGTGAAAGTTTTTGAGAAACGTTCTGGTGACTCGCAGCGCTCCCAGAACGAAGTTCTTCATCAAGAAATCGGTATCTTGAAGGGCGTCAGTCATCCGAATCTGCTTTGCCTCAGAGATACATTCGATGAAAGCGACGGCGTTTATCTTGTCCTGGAACTCGCTCCAGAAGGCGAATTGTTCAACTTGATTATCAGCCGGCAGAAATTCTCAGAAAGTGAGACTCGTTGCATCTTTATCCAATTGTTTGAGGGGCTGAAGTATTTGGTATGTTCTACCACCTCCATGCCCTTACTTTTTCGAGAGTAGCGACTAAAGCAGTGTGTTAGCACGATCGAGGTATCATTCATCGTGACATTAAACCTGAAAATATTCTGGTCGCGGACAAAGAGTTGACAGTGAAACTTGGTGATTTTGGATTAGCCAAGATTATCGGTGAAGACTCGTTTACTACCACACTGTATGGCATGTACTCCCAAATTATTTAGTTTTTGTGCTAACGATTATATTTGGTAAGATGCGGCACACCAACCTGTGAGTCTTCTAGTCCGCTCGAAAGCCAGAAAATTAATACTGATTCTGTAGATGTCGCGCCAGAAATACTACAGGAGCGGCGCTATCGGAAATACACAAAGGCTGTGGATGTCTGGTCTCTCGGGGTCGTCTTATACATATGCCTTTGCGGATTTCCCCCATTCTCTGACGAATTATACACAGCTGAGCACCCGTACACTTTAGCACAGCAAATACAACAAGGGAGCTTCGACTATCCGTCTCCGTATTGGGACACTGTGGGTGATCTGGCATTGGATCTGATAGACCGAATGCTCACAGTTAACGTTGACGACCGAATTACGGTGGAAGAATGCTTAGAGCACCCATGGATTACAGGAAAGCAGCCTAGTGTTTCTGACAGCACAGACGGCCTGACTGGGGCTTTGGGAAAGCTAGACTTCTCAAAAAGAAAGCTAGCTCGCGAAAGGACACTTCTCAGCAATATCAATGATGTTGGCTACAGTGAACATGAGCAGAAAAGTGGTGCTCCTGTCAAAGTTTTCCACAAAAACAATGCTGGGAAACGTGTTCACAACCATCCAGCAAAGAATGCACAAGAGCGTGAAGTATCCCCTAACGAGAAAAGTGGCCCGGATAACTTCGTCAACCTTGGAGAACAAGGTGATCCAGTTTTGTTCGATGACAACCTGAAAAATGGGCGTAACTGAAGAGAAGATAGCCTTCTGCAACTGAAGATTCTCCGAAGCCATCGACTTGAGTATGTGGACCGTGGCAGAAACCAAGGTCGGTTTAAGTGTATTTCTCAGGGACTGTCGCTTCCTTGGCTGGGTGACATTAGCGCGCTTTACAAGTACTTGAGGGCATAGGCATACGTCTAGTCTACTCTCTAATCGACTTTTAATACTTAGAGTAATAATAGCCTTAGTTGACAGTCTACAGCATACATAGACTTGGGGGCTTCACCTCCGCACTAGCTTTCAATTACTAGCCAGGGACACTTCCAAGAGCGGTCCAATATCATACGATGGCTACATTTACAATAAAACGCGCAAGTTAAATCCGAAAAGAACCAAGGAAGGGCCCCCCTCAACAGAGAGAGAGAGAGAGAGAGTGTGTGTGTGTGTGTGTGTGTGTTGATTTTATATTGCTGCAAGGGAATGCCTCCTCAATAGACGGGCAATCCTACTTGTTTTATATGCAAGACCTACCTGCATCGATGGGTTGCGTATCCGGCACACACATTTACATAGTGAATGTCGGGCTTATTCTTTTTTTTAGAAAAAAAAAAAAGAAAGATTAGGACGAGTCATATACTCCACAATGTAGTTATAGCATGGGAGGATAGGATGAATCGGCGCCCCTAGTACACATTGGGAACATATAATAGTACTAGTATGGAGTACTACCACTAGTAGTTTCTTAACTACAAATTAGGAGTAACTGGGTAGCGAAATGCGTATTTCGTATTGTACGGCTATGTACGCTGTCCGGAGTACCAGGGGCAGGAACGGGCCTGGATCCACTCGGAGGAGCGGCTGGGTAAGTACCAGTACCTTTCAGACTTTTGGACTGTCCAGTTCCTGCTAGGGGAGGAGCCGCGGGCGCGGAGCCGTTCAGATTGGTACGCCCACCAAGAATCCGTGAGCGGGTCGAGGCTACTAGTAGTACTTTACTAAGGGCGCTCACTTACTGGCAAGTGGCGTGCTGCCGTTTTTCTCTCTTGCTTGTACTTACCCAAAAGTGCACTTTCCTGCGCTGTTGCAAGCAATTCACACATCTGTCGCGCTTCCACGCCGAGGGCTAGGAAGGTGCCTTCGCTTGAATCATTCTTCCTTGTGAACACAACCAACTCACTCCAATTGTCTGTTCCGGTCATTCTGTTTCCGCTGTTGTCCCATCATGGGCCTGCTCGCGGTCGTTCTCGACAGCCTCTGTGAGCGCTGCTCGAACACGTCAATTCTAGTACTCCTGGGGATCGGACTGTCATCCCTGCTGGCTGTCTCCGTCATTCTCAATGTCCTAAGACAGTTGTTATTCAAGAACCCCAATGAGCCCCCTCTGGTGTTTCACTGGTTTCCATTCATAGGTAGCACAATTAGCTATGGCATGGATCCTTATAAATTCTTCTTCGACTGTCGCGCAAAGGTATGGACCAGTAATTATGAAAGTATCGATCTTTTGTTTTTATGCTGACTCGTGTCTACCTACAGTACGGCGATATCTTCACCTTCATTCTCCTCGGCAAAAAGACAACAGTTTATCTGGGAACCAGGGGCAACGATTTCATCCTAAACGGAAAGCTACGTGATGTCTGTGCTGAAGAGGTCTACTCTCCACTTACAACCCCTGTCTTTGGGCGTAACGTGGTGTATGATTGTCCTAATGCCAAACTTATGGAGCAGAAGAAGGTGAGCTTGAGCATGGAGAGAGTATGACACGTACACTAATGATTGTAGTTTGTCAAATTCGGTCTCACATCAGATGCCCTGCGTTCGTACGTTCGTTTGATCACCAACGAGGTAGATGACTTTGTCGAGCATTCTGCGGCTTTCCAGGGATCAAGTGGCGTTTTTGACGTCTGCAAAACCATCGCAGAGATTACCATCTACACTGCGTCACGTTCTCTTCAAGGAAAGGAAGTCCGGAGTCGGTTTGATTCTACTTTCGCCGAATTATACCATGATCTTGACATGGGGTTTGCTCCTATCAACTTCATGCTCCCTTGGGCACCCCTTCCTCACAACCGGAAACGTGATGCTGCACAGAAAAAGATGACCGAAACTTATATGGAGATTGTCAAAGAACGCCGTACGGGTGGAAACAAGAAGGATTCTGAGGATATGGTCTGGAACCTCATGTCCTGCGTATACAAAGATGGCACTCCTGTTCCAGACGAGGAAATCGCACACATGATGATTGCCTTGCTTATGGCTGGCCAGCATTCTTCTTCATCGACAGCTTCATGGATAGTCTTGCACCTTGCAAGAAATCCAGAAATCATGGAAGAGTTATATGCCGAACAGATCCGTGTGCTTGGGTCAGATCTTCCGCCTCTTACTTATGAAAATTTGCAGAAGCTTGACTTGCACGCTAAGGTCATCAAAGAGACACTACGAATTCACGCGCCGATCCATTCAATCATCCGCGCAGTCAAAAACCCAATGCCTGTGGATGGCACGCCATATGTCATCCCAACCAGTCACAATGTCCTTTCATCCCCCGGTGTTACCGCAAGATCAGAGGAATATTTCCCTAATCCTCTCAAATGGGATCCTCACCGCTGGGATGAGACTATTGCAGCCAATGCGGAAGAAGAAGATCAAATTGATTATGGATATGGTCTTGTCAGCAAAGGCACTAATAGCCCCTACCTTCCATTCGGTGCAGGGCGTCACAGATGCATTGGTGAACAGTTCGCCTACGTGCAACTTGGTGCAATTACCGCGGCTTTGGTGAGGTTATTCAAGTTCCGCAACCTGCCAAACGTCAAGGATATCCCGGAAACAGACTACTCGGTAAGTCACGCTATCTTCAAAGCGATCATGCGTCGACCTTTCTGGCTACGATTGACAAGGCTGACCAATTCTAGTCTCTCTTCTCCAAGCCAGCTGGCAAGTCTATCATTCAATTTGAGAAGCGCGCTACCACCGTTAAATCATAACGACCTGCCCCTGTTACTGCATAGAAACCGCCTTTTGTGATTGTTCTCAAACCTCTTATGTAATATGATGGAAATGACTGGATAACAGTCTTTCATGGGATTGTTTTTATTTTGTTTCTCCCTTGGGGCTTTAATGGCCGGTTTTATCTCATGTAATGGCTGCTTGTACAGTACTTCAATCCAATGTCTTGATCTAGGGTTGACTATGAGTGAGGATTGTATTATGGGTACGCGATTTGCTCGCATTTGAAGAGGCCTTAATGTATCTATAGCCAATCTAATTGTCCCATACAGGCGTTATATGGGACAGCCATTCTACCACAAATATATTACTTTTCCTGAACGCGATGGAAAACAGTGTCAATAACCGGAATAACCGTTGATCTATGAAATATAATACATGTGACATGACTGCAATATAAGCGCCCTTTAAGATACAACAGAGGTGGGAAAGACAAGTATGTGTGTGTTCTGTGTCGTGGTCCTTAGTTTCCCTTCTTCCTCTCTTCGCTTCGCTTCTTAGCCCGAACTTCAGCACGTCTCCTTTCACCACCGTCCACTTTGTGGCCGAGCTTGTCCTCCCACATACCCTCCTCGACTTTGATTAGGGCTGCACTACCATTTGTTCCTTTGATCGGTTGGAGATACGGGCCGCTGATAGCAGAACCGGCCGTGATTTTCATGCGCGCAAACTTCTTGAGGGGTTTCGTGGGATCATGGGTGTATTCAGAAGCATCCGGCGGAATGTTGACAATGACTCTTTTCATCCCTGGAGATAAAGTGGCCGAGGAATTCAAAGGGTGCGATGTTTCCTTGTTCAGTGTCGGAACTTCAACAACTCGAAGCTGCGCAACGCCATCGACCACGTTCTCCAGGTCTCCACCGGGCCCATAGATCCCCTGCCTGAACTTGTCCATCTTGCGAAGCAGGTAGCGTCGCTGGCGTGCTGGCTCAATGCCTAGATCCCGAAGTTCAGAGGAACTGGAAGTGAATAGCTTATCCCAGGAAGGTAGCTTGCTCGCATGCTTGTGCATCCCACGACCGATCAACTTGAGAAAGGTCTCGACATCAGGAACAAAGGGAGTGGGTGACGGCGGAGAAGGGGCGCCCGTGTTCTTATGAAAACTTCGTATGAACTGTTTGCTTATCGTCAAGGATCTCATCACTTGCAATGACAAGCGGTGCGAGCTGCGCGTCGCCATTTTGTCGCCGGGGTTTCTTCAGGACAACCGATGCGGTCTCGGAGATGTTGATTGGAAACTGTCGACAATTCTTTGAAAGACACGAGATCTGGGAGGGTACGGAATTTGAAAAAACAAAATCGGGCCCCTTCCCCGTCGCTGATAATCGTCCGGATTTGGTAGCGTAGTTAAGAGTTGGATGCCTTCGTTGTCGGTCCCGACCATCCTGGAGAAAAGTTCGGCGGGATGCGCAGTTCCGGGGCAAGTCCCGGGATCAACAAAACTCCGAACTTTGATCCTAGCTTCATATATACTCAAGGCAACTTGTGCCATACTACCTTGCCAACCAGACCGACATTATTGGCTGTTAACTTTCACTGCCCATCAATCTTCACTCTCTGGCATGCTGCTGCTGCTGCGTCGGTGATACTAATCATTCTCTCCCTATTCATTGGGCTTAAGGGCATATAAGCAGACGATGGCGGTTTCGCCTTTGGTCCCGCACGCTTCATCAGTTGCAGCTTCAAGCTCAAATGCAGGCAACAAGTTCGAAAATGACGGCACCAACTCACCTAACAAGACGAAGCGCTCATCGTCGCCCCAGCGCATGAAGAACCCTGACCGTGAAATCACGGAGCAACTTAACGACGATGTGAGGCACAAGTACATAAAAGGTACTGAACCCCCATCACTTGCGTTAATTCCATTGACAAACATATCCTGTCATTTCCATAATTATTTCCCTTACTATCTCAGTAGTGCCAGCGATACGATACTAATTATGGCCAAATCACAGATAAGAAGTTGGGTGAGGGAACTTATGCTGTAGTGTTTCTCGGACACCTCCGCACCGACCCATCGTCATTTGTTGCAATAAAGAAGATCAAGGTCAATGCTGAATACAAAGATGGGCTTTCTATGGACGCTATCCGAGAGGTAAAATATCTCCAAGAGCTTTCTCATCCAAATATAATTGCACTCCACGATGTGTTCTCGTCCAAGGATCAAAACCTCAATCTGGTCCTCGAATACCTGCCACGCGGTGATCTTGAGATGCTCATCAGGGATAGCAATATTCATTACGGTGCCGCCGATGTTAAAGCCTGGATGGGCATGCTTGCCAGGGGTGTTTGGTTCTGTCATGAAAATTACATCCTGCACCGAGATATCAAACCAAACAATCTTTTAGTCGCCGCTGACGGCGAGGTCAAGCTGGCAGATTTCGGTTTGGCCAGGTCGTTCGCCGACCCATACTTGAATATGACACACCAGGTGATCACACGCTGGTATCGACCCCCCGAGCTGCTTTTCGGTGCGCGACAGTATTCTGGAGCTGTCGACGTTTGGTCCATGGGAATGGTTTTTGCTGAACTCCTTCTACGGGTTCCATTTGTCGCAGGGAATTCAGACTTGGATCAAATCTCCAAGATTTGCGAAGCCTTCGGGACACCAACTGAGGAGAACTGGCCAGGCGTGACTAGATTGCCAAATTACATACCTGCCGATCCCAATCATATTGTGCCTTTACAAGGTCGAGACTTCTTTCTCCGGCAGTTTCCCACGGCTGGGCCTGTTGGGGCAGATTTGCTCATGTCGATGTGTACCCTGGATCCCAGAAAACGAGGCACCGCCTGCCAAATCCTACAACACGGCTGGTGGCTTGCTGAACCGAAGCCAACTAAGAAACAAGATCTTCCTAGAAAAGTTGGCGGAACCAAAAAGATGGGCGATGATTTAACGAGGCGAGGTGGGGAGCTTGACGATACTTCCTTCAAAAATGCCGCTCGACAATTGGATTTTGGCGCGGCAAGGGACTGATAAACGCATGTGCGTCTTCTCTTCCCAGTCGCACACGGTCATACTTGCATTTTCCTGGTACCTTAGTATACTGTGCCATACCATTGGTCAAAGATCAGAAGGTTCGGGGAAATCTTAACGTAAGTTCATCGGGAATTCTGAGTCATACAGAGTTCAAGGATGAGCAACAATATATGTCAGGTATCCTCAGGCATTTAGAAATTCATCCGACGCAGAAGAATGGCTGATCTCCCACAGTGTCGACCTGTGCCACACCATCAAGGAAGGGACATGGCAATCGGCCCATCATTGGTGAACTTCATCTCTTGAGATAAGACCCGCGCTCATCGACAGTGTGGATTGCGCCCAGATATGCGGGTGAGATTAGCGACAAAGTAACTGAGTGATTATCGCAAATCGATGCGGACTCAATCAAGAGTTGCAAGTTCAGCAGAAAGTTGTTGTCGAATTAACACCAGCCGCTCAATAATGGTTCGCGGATTCGTGTGATCGTCAATACCTTAACAGTTGTGGAGACGGAACCATCGTGACTCGAAAGGGTCAGCTGTATTATTCCACATAGGTCTCAGACAAGGAGAATTCTCCCAGATTTCCTGTGTGCATGTGTTCGTCCAACGGGCTCTGTGGCTAGAAGGGTTGACGCTTGTGTATGCTGTTTTCTTGGCATCGTATGTGCGGAAACGCAAGCAGGATCGCTCAGTAGCAGGGATCGACATTGATACCTTCATGGAGAAATTGATCGACAAAGCCCACCCCCTATCGTGGGAACATAAGTGTTCTGTACTGCACACTGCATCTGATGGAAATTATTACATCCTGCAGGACACATGTAAATATAATTCAGCCGCCTTTGGATCGGGCAAGGAAATTAGCCACCTCATTCTTTCGAGACAAGTATTTGAAGGGAATATAGGGCAGTATTAATAAATAATATGAAGTGAAATGCGTTTTGGTCAGTGGATGGCTGCTACAAATGATAAAGACCCCAAAGCCCCTTACGGAGGTTTAATTAAACATTAAAAGAGGGCCTCCGTCTGTTAGCGTCTGGTCCCTCCTACAGAATTCCCACTTGAGAGGGGTTTTAAAAATGAGACAGCAACTGATGCTCGATCTCCTTTACCAGCTAGGTACACAGCACAGACATTGTACTTCTATTCGCATTGTCACTGCTTAACTTCGAGATGACAGAACAGTGCCTCAACCAATAATATTTGCCCTTTGGGAATTCAGGGACCGTGTTGCGGAATAATCAGTGAAAACAATTCAATAGGAAGGTGATTGTTTCATTGCGCTAAGTATGTCCAAATTTGTGGTGTTGAAAGAAAGTACTTAGAACTGCCGCATATACATTTACGTAGAGATGGAGTTCCAAACTGCACATCTGGGCAACACATCTACTTTAGTTTCTTTTTGGTGTGACACTGGTACTGGATGGGTATTGATGTCGAATACAACAGTGTGGTTTACCAGGGAAATTTTCGAGTTAATCTTAAGATACTTGAGCCCTAGCACTAGATAAAACATCGTCCGGTAATTGAGTTTCTCCTAAAAACCCCCGTCCGAGTGCCTGCCTACCTTGGGTATAGATCTCTAACTTACTGTAAGTTTCCAGGTAGTACCGTATAGGAGGTATCCTATACAAAGTTCCCGCATATTTTTGTTGGATCCCTGATTAGCTTAGTTTTTTTGGCCGGTATCTTAGGCTCCAGAAAGGTCCACCGTCCGAGAGGGTTAAACTGCACCACATAGGGGTGTATGCTGGGGTTACATGCTATACGGTACCGGTGGAAGCAACAGTCAACTCATTGGTGCCGGTAATGATTTCAATTACTACCAGCATCATCACACTGTACGACGGTATAGTATAAGTAGTAAATGAATAAGACAAAAATTAGTTATCTTGCTCTAACCAGGAAGTGGGTGAGTTGCTACTACTACTTACGCCCCTCATAACCTGACTCCCGGCCTTTTACCCGTCCCGTGCGGCACTAAAGATTGAAAGGACCAACCCTTGGAGCCTCCTTCAACCCAACGCCTCGCGTTCGAGGCGGATTGCGGTGTACGGGGTATCCTGCCTATCTGAAGCGATTGATTACTTGTCTAGCCATTCTTTGGGTCATGTCTAATTTGCACACAGGCCCTCTTCTCAAGTATTAACGTTCCCGATCAGCGCCCCCTCTTCAAACGCCATCCATCACTTGGCAGTGCCGGTCTCCAGTTCGCTGTTGTCGTAATAAGAAAGAAGCCTGTTCAAACCTGCCAGGGCTGAAACGGGATAATTGACGTCGGCCCATAACCTACACACGTGCCCAACGCTGCAAGAGACCCAGCCAGCAAGGGCTTTCGGACACATCTGTGTCGTGCGCAAAGGTTGGCGCTTGTTTACGTTACAGTCCCCTTATCTCAGCCCGCAACATCCTACTAGTCTTTGGACGATTTGCGGAAACGTCCGACTTGAGAATCGGCCTTCGACAGACGGAACTGCCTCATACCAAATTAAGGTGAGTCTCGATAGCTCGGACCTTGACAGCCGAGTATACCTGTTATCGTTCTACTGCCCCCCTGTCTCTTCACATATCAAACAAGCTCCTTTCCACAGAGGCACAAACGCGTAACAAAGTGTTGCACTCCAATCTGAAAGCCAGTCATCTGGCGATGTTGTTGCATGTTTTGATAGTCTTTTATTGCCAAGTCTAACAGGTTCATATCTTCTAATATAGGCACGAATTCGGACTTTAACCGGACACATACGGATGGCCGCCGCAAGAAACACCGATTGATAAGTCCCTGTGCCAACACCGCATGGTATAATAAGCCTCTTATAACAGACAGTCACTTGAGAATGTCGACCTTACCGCCGTCGTCGCGGACGGCCTCTAACTCTTCGGCTGGGCCCTGCCCTCAATTTCCAGCTCCTAGGTCACGGAAAAGCCTTCCTGTTGCATCTGACACGTCAAGGGCGCCGTCCCCATCCCAAACGTCCCTCAAGACGCGCACCCCTTCTAGCCCTAGAGCAAGTCTAGGACGACAGCTCCTGTCTAACTCGATGACCAATACTAGCACATCGCGGACCGTTGCCGGTAGCCGGGTTCCGAGTAGCCCCGATAAGTCGCTGCGACGAACCATCAGCATTGCAGCTTTTCCTCAGCCACCTAGGTCAGGAAGCCGCCCTTCTACTGCGTCTTCAATATCGGGAATACAGGGCGTCCATCCATCTGGGAGTGTAAAGGCCAGGAAAAGCTCGAGACTAAGTACTGGAACCACCAGTAGTTACCGGAGTTCTAAAACCGCATCGTTGCTGAGTGGCGCTGGGGATGCGAAATCCATTTCGACTACTGAAGCCCGAGATGCGGAAGGCTCCCCTTCACAAAGCAGGAGCTCATCTGCGCAAGGATCTTACTCAACTAGTGCAACTACGTTTGAAGATGCCGATGAAGGCGTACCAAAGTCAAACTCGAGGCCGAAAGAGACAAAGGGAAATGTCATCGTGAGCGTCCGAGTACGCCCTGATGTGAATGGTGCCGAAACCGCGAAGACCCCTGAATGGTCAGTAGATGGGAGGCACGGCCTCATCTCTTATAACGGAAAGGAGGGCGGCGATTATTCGTTTGGTAAGGATATCCTTCGTATTCTCTTTGGGCACAGCAAGGTATACGTGGCTTACGCTTCTCTATTTCCTCGTTAGATAACGTGTTCTCCCCTCATGAACATAACGCGAAGATTTACGACTCTGCAGCGAAACGTCTAGTGAGGCGGGTAATGGAAGGATATCATGGTACAGTCTTCGCTTACGGCATGACTGGTACTGGCAAGACATTTTCCATGCAAGGAACTGCAACCTCCCCGGGAGTGATACCGTTGGCAATAACAGATATATTCTCCTTCATTAGGGAAACACCACATCGAGAGTTCTTGTTGCGTGTCAGCTATCTGGAGATATACAATGAGAAAATTCACGATCTGCTGTCAGCCTCGGTATCTGGCGGAACCGCTGCCCCTCAACAGGAGGAAATCAAGCTCCGCGAAGACAGCAAACGTGGTGTATATGCCACGCCACTGAAAGAAGAGATTGTTCAAAGCCCGACACAGCTTCTCCGTGTGATCGCGAGGGGCGACCATGCTAGGCGGACCGGTAGCACGCAGTTTAACGCTCGCAGCTCTCGAAGTCACGCGGTTGTTCAAATTGTTGTCGAGAGCAGGGAACGAGTGCCTGCCGGAGCTTCTCAAGATAGACGGTCAGGCTTGGTCCCAGGTGGAGTCCGAGTGTCAACGCTGAGTCTAATCGATCTTGCTGGTTCAGAGCGCGCTGCTGAGGACAAGGAACGGCGTACGGAAGGTGCCCATATAAACAAAAGCTTGCTTACTTTGGGAACTATTATCTCTAAACTATCGGAGGCAAGAGATAAGACCGGCAACCCAACTGATAAAGAGGGGAAACACCTTCCATATCGGGACAGCAAACTCACGAGATTACTGCAGCCTGCTTTGTCAGGGAACTCACTGGTCAGTATTCTTTGCACGGTTCAGCTAGGAGGGACAGCCAAGTCTCATTCCGGCGAAACGCTCAACACCTTGAAGTTCGCAGCTCGAGCCAAGAACAGCATTGTCAGCCATGCTAAACGCGCTGAGGAAGCATTTGGTAGTGGTGGAGGTGATGCTGGAAGCAGAGTTCTCCTGGAGCGGTACCGTATGGAGATTCAGACGCTCCGTAACCAGTTAGAGAGTCAGACCAAGGCCCAAGCTGAGAAGGAGCTGAAGCTGGAAGAGCAGCAGCTCGAAAAAGAAGCACAGGCACGCCACGAAGAGCAAATGCTTGAAATGCAACTGGCTCGGACGGCATTAAAGGAAAGGATCGAGCATTTGAATCGTTTGATTCTATGTTCAAAGTCTACTGGTGTAAATACCTATGGAAGCATATCCGCTCTTGGTCGCCTTTCAAGGATGTCGGCTACCGAAACTGGATCTCGATCCTTGCGTTCGTCACTCAGCCAGTCTACATTAGGCGCATATGGGCACTCGTCGCTCCGACCAGTCTCCTTTCTTTCTATTAACAGCAGTGATTACCCCGGCAATCAACCGTTCTCAAATGGTCATCTTGGGAATGAAGATGAGGAGGATTTTATTGGCGAATTTGCGGATGGAAAAGCAAGCGCCCAAAGACAAATCGCAGCCCTTCAGGCCGACCTTAACGACAAGAATCGCTATATCTCTACGCTAGAGCGGCGGCTTCTGCAAGCACGACGGTCCAGTCATTCCCGCATGTCCATAGGTGTGAAGGCTGGGGGCACTACTTCTGACGCCCCTGATGTACTAGCTCTTTTACGGGAGAAAGACATGGAGATCAATGAGCTTCGTCTACAACTAGACGATAAGGACCGGATGCTTGCTGCCCTTCGTTCTGCTGCTCGACACCGAGATCTTGCCCATTCAGCAGCGGACTCCTTCGTGTCAGACACAAAAGAAAGACCCGGGCGTCAGGAACATCAACCCGATGGCGATGACTCAGCGGCTTATGACTCGGCCGTTGGTCTCTGTTCACCACTCAAAGAGGAAGAAACGGAAGAAAAGAGGCGTGGCATGGACGACGTGTCACGCATTTTGGATGAGATGTTACAGGACCGCCTTGAGAGTGGGCACCTCATCAAGGGCTCTCGTGGGAGTGTTCGCGTTGCCGCAGAAAGTCGGCGGGCATCTGAATCCATGACCGGTTTGCCAGGGCTGAGCACGGGCACTACGGATTTGGCAAGCTCTGGCTGAGCCCAGCAATCTTGAATTACGTCATCTGTTCTCATTTTGGCCCGTCTTTTCGCGGGAAACTCTTTCCTCTTCACGTCTATTATAATTCTGCTCAGGGCAGGCAGTATGCCTGTGGTTTGACTGCCTTTCCGCCACGCGCCATTCAGCACACAATCTCTGGCTCTTGGTTCTCATCTCTTCCGCCTTGCCTTACCTCGCACCCTCTTCGTTGTCATTCCACGTTTTTTTCTATAATACCCTTTTTTGTGTGGACTGATCTAGATACCCTGTTTCCCTTGCTCTTTTCTGGCTTCGTCTTGTGCTTCCTTTTCATCCATTTCTCTGTCTTAATATTCCTGTTACGCTTGCCTGGTGGTAGGCATGTTGATTGGTAATGACATAATGAAAATACGTTGAGAGGGTAGAAGGATATAATCATTCCCTTCCAAACCTTTATTCCCAATGGTCTGTAGTGGAGAATCCTAATCCGGTCCCTAGGAGGTTCCGCCTGGACATATATTCCTTGAGAAGTGTTGGTTGGGACCGTGTCATAGCAACCAATAGTAGTCATTATATCGTGGAATGGGAATGGTGACTTGGCGTCTTTGTTACACGAAGCTGATTCCAGGTCGATTAATTCTAACTGTTAGAACGTACCTGAACCGTTAGTTGAACAGGCTGATACAGCTAGTTGAACTGTTGTGGTCAAGCATACCTTTCCTGCCAACGGACTTCTCTGCGGCAGGAGGAGTAGTAGGGTGTATCCAGCATGCAATCATGCGGTATTTAGATAAATACTATATAATTACATTCTCCTGACAGAACACTGCTGCTCGGCATGTAAGTAATATGACCAGCCTAGTACTATCTTAGGATTTTGTGCAATCCAACCCGAGTAAAGCCCTGATAGGACCTAGACAGGTCTATACAGGTACACGTTTGGAGCCCTCTGATTTTACAAAAATATATGTCTAGTTGTTTCATGTACTATAGCATGGATGTCTTCAGACTTTAGCCCCCCTGGTCATTGCCAGTTCGTATGCCATTAATTTTATATACAGCACTGGCCCCAGAGCTAACTCAGAATCCGACTATTCTATGTAAATATACGTCCATGATCAATAGTAACCGCATTTTTATACCTTCTATAATAATGATAATAGATATAGTCAGACCTTGAGCCTAATTCCGTTCTCACCTGAAACCTTATGTGTCTAATAACCTAAATATCTAGACACAAGTATATATAAGCATATGTATAAAGATAGAGATACAGAACAAACCCCCTCCTTTGTCTCCGATAAATTTCGCTGTTAGCGTTCGTCAAGCAACGATTTCGATCTCCGATGTCCTATCCTTTGCATATTTATCTTTCCACTCTTCCCATATTCTTTCTAATTCCTGCACGTACAAGGAATGGAGATGGTTTATATAATCATCGTCGATCTTCCCCCTATCACGCTGCTGCACAACATGGATTGGACGACCGACAACAATGTTGAGTGGCCGACGATATGGCATCAGACCGACGTCATAGTTGAACACGCCACGGGCATGGAATAACGGAATAGTGAATCCCAATGTGTGTTTGACCAGCATCTGCAATTTGTGTATAAGAGGATGGTTTTCAGAGCGCACTTGTTCATAGAGATCATTTTCACCAAAGGCCAGTACAGGCACAAGATCGGCGCCAGTGTGAATTGCCAGTTTGATAAAACCTTTACGCCTCTTGAGTACAAGGCGCAATGTATGCGGAAGAGCATCAAGAGACTCGCGAGCACCACCTATGACGATAGTTATAGCACGCCCCATTCCTTCCCCATCAATGCCGCCCTTTGATAGCAGGTTCTCGCATGACTCGCGCGAGACACTGGCAATCCCCATGCCTAGCGCATATTCCCTGTAGAAGGGAATTCGGAAATTTGAATCAAGCGTAAGCAAGGTGTTGGTGATACCAGGGAAGAGTCTTGCAAAACCAAGAGCCTCGGTAGCAAACGCTGCAAAAGCACCATGAGAGATGATTCCATGCGGATGATAACCAAAAATATACTTCCGGGTTGGGAGGAGAGGTTCTGACCGATGCAAGCGGGCCGGGAAATACGATGCATATATTGACCACACGCCGAGTGAACGTAAGAAGTCACACCTACCGCTCAAATCACCCGACGTGGCTGCCGTTGAAAAAAGGGATATATAGATAAGGTAAGGCAGTATGATAGGCCAGAACAAGGGGATTGCACACACGAAGAAAAATGCTGTTAACAGGATCGCTATGGTCAGAGTATGGCATAACACCACCAGAGTCTGTAAGCGCCGTTCGAGTCCAACATTGAGTGGGGCCCAACGGATACTAGAAGAGCGCTTGTTAGAGACCGAGACTCGAGGGGGAAATCTCGCATGGGATATCTACCTTGGCCCCCTTGACTCCTTCATGGTTTCTTGGGCTGCTTGGGGAGCAGCACCATCAGGCATTACGGACGACCTTGCCTTGTATGGCAAACTGGCTCGTTTCCAGAGCCCTTTGAGAGACCCTTCAGTAGCTGTAGGTTGTAGCGCTGCATTTTCCTGGCCAGATGGAACAAGGCCTGGTGGTGTATCGGAGGGCGACATCCGTTGACCGGATGCGTAGAAAATAGACCAGAGCGAGTCCGAGACACCGCTACTGAAATATTTATCTGGAGTTGGATGATGAACACGTCAAAGGATCCGAACTTGTTTTGACTGGGCTTCAATTGTGGGCTTATCACCTGAGTACCAGGTAAAGATTGAGAGCCAAATAATTCAATAGCTCCCAAGACAGCGAATATATCCCAAAAGCCTTGAAGCTAGCGGCTAGAAGATGCAGATGCTTCGTCGAAGTGGTGAGAGACCGTGAGAGACTACGTAACGACTAGGTTGCTGCCAGGACGGGGTTGGTTTCTAGGTTGTGGGTCCGTGGGCAGGCACCCCACGTCATTTTCCCTTACTGTGTATACTAAGTAGCGACTAGTAGGACCAATAAGTACCAAGGTACTGTTCAAATTGAATTGGCTATCTACTGTGTACTTCATAGTCACCTTAGCTTTGGTATATTTGTGTCTTTGTAGCTGTTCTAATAGCCTGACAGCATCTAATAGAGAGAGGTTCAATTCTATCTATATATGTTTTATATGATTGATTATCAGTGAAAAATGAGTACGTCCGGATAAGGGACGGATCGATAATACTCCGTACATAGTATGCTATGCGCGTGCCATATTCCCGCTCCCTCCCTCCCTCCCTCCCACTCTCCCTCTCCCGAAAAACCACAAAGAAGAAAAGGCCTGTACCTAGAATATTTAGGTTCTGGTGCAACATATTTTGCTTGATGCGAACCCTACGCCTTCATAATCTATAACGGCACAGCACCTGGCCTGATTCACCAAAGACTTCGGTCTACCTATATGTATTACATGCAAGTATGAGTCGTGTCAAGATCGTTATGAACGATTGTAGGAAATGCCGAACCAAACCAGTAAGGAGTATATCTATGTCTATAAGTCTAGGGTATGTCATGAAAGAGATATATACGGCGCTATGATTTGACCATGAATATCTGCAACACATTAGCTTCTGCGATCTGAAAACACAACATCAAAGTGTTCGGTTCTCACCTCGTTGAGAGACTTCTCGTCCATGAGAGCCGCTTTCTTCTGCGCAATATGTCGGCCTCTAAAAACATGTCTCCCCATCGGACGGCGCTCCCTCGACGGACCCTTAGAAGCTGTTGAAGAGCTTTCTTCATCATCCCTTGTGGCTTTACTCTTTTCCTCTGCTGACTTCTTGTTCGTATTTCCGGAGTCGGTGGACTCAGGCCCGTCAGTGTGTTTCCTTTTTCTGTCCTTCTTCTCCTTATGGCTCTTGGATTTCGATTTTTTCTTCTTGGTGCTTTGGTGATCGCTTTGGTCTCCAACATTGCCTGAGCCCTCAACGCCATCAGAGCTCACTTGATCTTTGTCCGGCGCAGGTAACGTAGCAGAAAGTCCGTCCTCTTGCTTGTCTTTTTTGGTTCCTTGCGGCTCCTTAGTAACAATGGGGGTCATTTTTTCCTGAGCTAGCAAACCGCCACTTATGAATGTGACTGCTTGCCATTTCGTGGCAGCATATCGAGCCAGTTTTACGTTGTCGCGCTTCTGCTGCTCGACCTGCAAATCCGCGTCTGACTTGCCGTTTAGCCGGCCAAGAAGTCCCTTGAATGCATCAAGTCCAGTGGGCTCATTTAAAGGATCACGTTTAGGCCGCGCCCCTAGGCCCAGCGTATCATCCTTCAGGACAACCTTGATATGAGATGCACTCGCTTGAGTAAACATTTCAGCATGTGCGGCATTGCGCGCCCCCAAGAAGCTCCCGGGTGTCCATCCTTGGGAGCTCAAGATCTTGTGTCCGAAACCGCTTGTTGACCGTGCCCAATTGGTATTATTGGGGTCATGGGAGATTTTAATTTTCCTAGGTCACTGCCTGGTCAGAACACCGCAAAGGTAGATAGTGGAGGACATAGAAGTAATCCGTGAAAACATACTTGCGAGGTGCTGCAAGTCCCATTTGCTGCGATAGAGTATGGCAGCGATTTCAAGAATTCAACAAAGGAGTGAAAGTGCACTTCGGTTTCCACTGCCCTATTTCACCTTTTGGTAGGTAAATTGGATTCCTAGGATTCTCTGGCCCCTTTTCACGGACTTTTATTCTCCTTTCTGTCGCCAAAGATTATGCAAAATTGTGCGGATTCGTAAGATTGAGAGCAAGGATGGTAATTAAGGGGAGTAAAACAGAGAAGTCATGACATTGATAATGATCAAGAATGAAACCTGAAAAATTTCCTCCGACGGCCTCCCGTGACCGCTTACTTTATTCGGTGACTGTAGACGGTCTCGACCCGGGGCAAATGGATACTGCGGGGTTCCTCCAAATTCACATCCGCAATCTCTCGAACAGATTCCGAAGTCACAAGTGTCACTAGGTATCTCTGTCTTCTCAGTTGTTTAGAAGAAAGTCCGTCAAAGTTGCTGTCCGTATTATTTCGCTGAGACTCATGATATGTAGAACAGTATATGGTCTCCTGTAGCCACTGAATTCCGTTCTAGTCAGCTTTCATGGCAGACACCTGTTGGCTATTGCATCCGCTTCAGTATAGGTTCTGCATTACCTACAAAGTAGGCAAGATTCGGTCCTAGAATACCGATGTAGTCTCAATGCAAAGTTCGCATTATCGCTGTACCTCTCACAACACTTCTTGCTAGCCCTCGCTCATGCAAACTAAAGACCGCGCCGCAATGTTGGTAGCAAGAGTGCCAAGCTTTGAGAGTGCCAACCGAAGCGTGTGCTGCAATCCGGACTTAAGTTGAGCGCTCCATCATGAGGACCGAGGAGGATCCAGTCATAAGTTAACAATGTCCGGGCTACGCATTTATACTCAAAATTATCCATATCGTACTATTGCATTAGCCACATCTGAATACGTACTTATCTTTCGCCATAGCTTGGCAGGAGCGGATGTCAACACTGCGTCTCATCTCAAGACTACGCCGCGCTGCTTGGTTGAATTTGCTCCCCTATCATCTGTGGATCTGAAAGGCTATAGGGTCATTGGTGATGGACATGGGACTCTCGGATTGGTTACACTAGATAATGAGGTTTTTCTCTGCGTGGTCACTGGCTCCTCCAAGGCCGCATCCATCAGGCCTGGAGAGACTGTCCTGAGAATACACAGTGTGGATTTCTGTAAGCCCCCCCCCCCCCCAAGTGGTCTCTGTTGGTCATCACTGTCGTGCAGAAATTGACCTTAAAGAGAAGTCTGCCTAAATCATTCGAAATACGATGACAGAGTTGACTACGAATTGGAGTCCTCCATCGCTGGTCAGGACCCCGACCATGACTTTAACTTTGAGAGCAAAGAGACGAATCCAGACTTTCCCTTCCTAGCTCTAAAGAAGCTTTTAAGTGACGGCAGCTTCTACTACAGCTGTGAGTTCAATCTAACTGATCGATTGCAGGACCGGTGAGTTAACCCTTTTCTGTCAAATGGCACCGTAACTAATGAACTCTAGCTCAGACGAAACGGGAATTTTTGACATAGAATCTCTTGATCGAGACATGCTGTGGAATTCGTACATGATACACCCACTTCTCCTTTTTAGAAATCAGCTGTCTTCGGTTGAAAAGCAGCATCTCGACTCCTCTCAAATTCTGACGTGCGTCATACGGGGATACTGTGGGACATTGACTGTTCCTGCCTCTACTCAACTCTTGCCTGGTACCCGCAAAACGCACCTTCCGTCTTCATTAACAATAATATCGCGCCAGTCGTCTCGGCGTGCTGGTACGAGATTTAATTCCCGAGGCATCGATGACGATGGTCATGTCGCCAATTTCGTGGAAACAGAGACCATACTCTGGATTCCACCTGACATTGTTTTTTCCTATGTTCAGGTTCGTGGCTCAGTGCCTATATTCTGGGAGCAGGCCACAGGATTCCTTCCTGGTCAGCAAAAGATCGAGATAACCAGATCTGTTGAGGCAACAAAGCATGCCTTCGATAAACATTTCAGATCTCTTGAACTAGATTATGGAGCAATTCATGTGGTTAACCTTCTCAGTGAATTGAAGTCCGGTGAATATAGTCTCACGGCAAGGTTCCGGAACCACTTACAGAATAGCCCACTCAATAAGCATTCATCGGATCACACTCTGCTGCAGGTAACAGAGTTTGATTTCCATGCGGAAGCGCGAGGGCCATTGGGATATGGAGCTAGCTCTCAGATAAGGCAAGAAATCTTCGACTCTTTACAAGGATTCGCATATTTTCAATCCGGCGAAATTGGACCGGTAGCTCTATATGACAAGCACCATGCGTCAAGAAATGCACCTGTAATCCTGCAACAAGAGGGGGTTTTCAGAACAAATTGCCTGGATTGTCTCGACAGGACTAACCTAGTACAAACAATCATCAGTTCAATGGCGCTTGAAATATTCTTCAGTCAACAAGGAGGAACGATAAGCCCCGATTTGCAACTGCGCCACTCGACTCTCTGGGCAGATAATGGAGATGCGCTATCAAAAATGTACGCTGGAACCGGTGCTCTGAAAAGCTCATTCACAAGACACGGGAAAATGTCCATTGCTGGGGCACTCGCCGATGCGCGCAAAACAGCTACCCGGATCTATGTCAACAACTTCGCGGACAAGGCCCGTCAAAACACAATTGATCTTCTATTGGGACGGTTGACAGACCAAGTTCCAGTACATCTTTACGACCCGATCAATGATCTCGTGTTAGAGGAACTAAGTCAACGCTCTGAGGAATTTTCTTATTCTAGATCTGTCACGGTTTGGACGGGAACATTTAATGTCAATGGGCGCCATGAAGGACCCGATGGTGATTTGAGGGCATGGTTATTCCCAAAGTACGATTCTCAGGCCGAGGACCCCCTGATTTACGCCGTCGGTTTTCAAGAAATCGTCACGTTAAGTCCACAGCAGATAATGTCCACAGACCCTACCACCCGTAAGGCGTGGGAGATTGCAGTACACACCTGCCTCAACAAACGTGCAGAGGCCATGGGAACTCCCAAGTATGTCCTCTTGCGAAGTGGCCAACTTGTGGGCTCTGCTTTGATGATATATGCGAGAGAAGATGCTTTAAGCGATATAAAAAATGTTGAGGGAAACGTTAAAAAGGTATGAATCCTCAGTACTCTGTGAGACATTTCAGCTGACCCGCATAGACGGGCCTTTCGGGAATGGCTGGTAATAAAGGAGGCTGTGCCATCCGCTTTGAATATTCTAACACTCGACTTTGCTTCGTTACCGCCCATCTTGCTGCTGGCTTTGCGAACTACGACGAGAGGAATAGAGACTATGAGACTATTCTTCGCGGTCTGAGGTTTTTGAGGAACAGATCAATCGAGGACCATGATGCTGTCATATGGCTAGGGGACTTCAATTATCGCATTGGTCTGAGTAATCAGAAAGCGAGGGAGCTTGTGCAGGAAAAAGATTTTCAGACGCTATACGATAATGATCAGGTTTGTGCTTCTCTTGCAAGGCCTGTGGACCTTCATTAACAAAGCGCAGTTGAACTTACAGATGGTGGCGGGTAGGGCTTTCCAATTCTACACGGAAGGGCCTATTAGCTTCCCGCCGACTTACAAATATAATATCGGTAGAAACGACTATGATAACTCGTAAGGGCCCTGTTGACGATATATTCGAAGGTAGCTAACCGCTTATAGGGAAAAGGCGCGTATTCCCGCATGGTGTGACCGGATTCTTTGGAGAGGAACCAATCTCCGACAAATAAATTATGGCTCTGCAGATCTCCGAATTTCGGATCATCGCCCAGTCTGGGCTGTGTTTACATGCATAATCAATGTTGTCGATGAGGCCCGAAAGAGCAAGATCCAGCAATCCCTATACAAAGAACGACAAAACAATCTCAGGCTCGGTGACATGACGACTCAGGTACAAAAAGTGGATGGTGAGTTGATAGCTTTTGACCACATTGCTTCGGAACTTCCACCTGCTAGCTCTGAGCAATATAAATGGTGGTTAAACCAAGGTATGTTAGGTTACAGAACCAATATCACGTACTCATCAATCCTTGACCGTTCTTCGAACAAATATACTGATCTATAGGCTTAAGGCATCCCTGTGAAGTCGCAGTTAGCCCCCCCGGCCAAGGATTATGTGTTAAATATCCATCGGGACTCGAATCCCTTCTTATGTGACGGGCCTGCTAATTGGTGTCCTACCCCTCTACTTGCCGAAAGCAACAGCAACACCAATGCGGAAAATCCTCGGTTGCCACCACGGACCGTTTCCAAGTCTTTCCTGCGGAACAGGGACGCTTCAACGGAAACGTGGCTCACAGATGACCAATGTGTTTTCGAGCAAAAGCGGAGAGACCTGGATTCTCCCAGTGTAAGCATTGAATCTCCGGAAAGAGGACCAAATACGAATACGAAAGACCTTCTTGGGGAGGCCATTAGCGATGACCTAAATTGGAGGCCGCTTACACCCGAGTGACACGTCTTGTGACTTCATTTGTAGGGCTGTGATAGTTAGATACCAGATTACTCGGCGCCCTTCATTGACTTGGTTTGTATTGCATCTAGGCGCCTGTAAGGTGGCTTGAAGGAAAATTGAAAGGTCTGGTAAATAGATAGACATGTTATATAACACTCGGTCACAAGCAATACTCTATGGGTATATGTACATGTTCGTATTCGATATAAGAAACATCTGATGGTGGAGTTCTAAAACAATGACATGGATAGCAGGTTACTGCCGAAGTAGACAAGGAAAGAGAAAGATTGGGGGATGGAAGGAGGCATGAAGAAAATGAAGTATAGAGATATCATCAGCCAACCCCAGGGGCATGAGAAACCAATCCCGAATAATCGAGAGGAAAAGCCATGCCCCGACTAAAGCAGACAAGAGTGAAGAAAGCTCGAGATTCACAACACATGTCACACAAAGTACTACTGTATGAGACAATAATCCGGTTAGTATTCCTGAACTTCGTGATGAGCTATGGTGTAATGAATGACACGAACCTCGTGTTGATATCTCCCGAATCTGGATGGAGCTGCTTCCTCAAAAATAGTCCAGTCCGATCGTATACACATATAGACAGACGGATTTGTGATATGTGAGTACAGACCGTAAACCCGAGAAACTTCACATGACACGGCAAGAGATTCCGTGATAGACTGCTTTAGGCTTTTTTCCCGTTTTTAAAGCCTTGTTTAGGCGCAAACGATTACCACCAACCATCCACAATGCAAGTGGGCCAGGGTCAGAGGCCTTGGTGCGTGATTTTTTGGAACCTATGAATCAATTAGTGGGACGTATGAGATCAGAAGAAGCATGTGTATGACGATAATCAAAGATTGATTCAATATAACAGAAAATATAAGAGGGGGTTGGTTGGGTTTCGTACCTGCCGGCTCTGGCTTCTTTTTGGGCTCTTCAAGTACAATGACAGCTTCCTCAGAGGGCGTTTCTGGAACCTCGGGAGGGGGCGGCTCTTGAGGAACTGGTTCAGGTGGCGGGGCAGGTTCGGGGGTCTTTGGCTTCTCGGGTATAGGCCACATGTGCATCGTTATAGTCCAGTCGGGCTCAATGACTGTCTCCCAGACCTGGGGAAGAATTATATCACCATTGGGTCCTATCAAGTCATAGTGACCCTCGGCAACATGAGGTCCGATTATCTCGATATGAAGAAAAGCTTGACGTATAAGTTCTTCCATTCCCTTAAGTGATACTGTAGTCAGATATACATTCTTTCAAGAAATATAATGCATGGGGCGGGATGCGCATTACCTGCCAAGTGCAGCATAAGTCGAAAGGAAAACTGAATTTTCTTCCTATAGCATCCTTGAACTTTATAGGCTTTTTCTTCTCTGGAGGAGGTGGGCTTGCGGCTGCCGCTGCTGCTGCTGTCGCTGCGGCGACTGCCTCTGCCGCTGCTGCATTCGCAGCCTCTGTTGCTGCTGCCGCTGCTTCTGCCGCCGCTGCCGCCGCCGCTTCTTCCGCCTCTTGCTTTGCTTTTGCGGCTTCTTCAGCAGCTTTTAGCTCGGCCTCTGCTCTAGCTCGCGCTGCAGCCTCCTCTGTGATCTTCTTTTCATATGCAGCTCGTTCCTCTCTGGCGGCTTGTTCTGCGGCCTCTTGCTCGATTGCGGCTTGTCGAGCAGCTTCCCGGGCTTCACGGGCCTCACGTTCGGTCCTTTCTTCCATTATCAACTTCTCCAACCTTGCGATAGCCTCATCCTTCACTGTATCAACAGGGGCGGGGGCGGGCGACTCGGGCGACTCGACTTGACTTGGAGAAGGCACGCGTGGATAGGGGTTGAAGTATGGAGGGATCATCCCAGGAACCATTGAATACGGTTCCCGATAAGGGTAATAACCCCCTGAGCCATAAGGGACCAGTTCGTGAGGGCTCAAAGGTGGCCCACCATATGGAGGGGGACCATGAGTCGACATATGAGACATTGCGCGCTGAGGTGGGTTGTTACCCTCTCCTCGGCCATGGGATGCTGTTGGAAGTTGGTGTGCATGATGACCGGGGTGATGCTCGTGAACGAAAAATGGGGGTATAGGAGGGCCATGAGGTTGCTGTAACTGAGCGCCATACCCGTAAACAGGGTGAGGGTACGCCGTCTGCTGGGGGGCTTGACCATTATGGCCTAATCTGACAAGTTGGTCTGATGGAGAGGGGAAACCAGGTGGGTGCATGAACTGCCCGTGGGGCATACCAGGCCCGGTAGGATAAACATATGACTGCCCAGGTGACGAACTGCGGGCGTAGCCCGGAACTTGAGGCACAGTTGACCAGTATCGTCTTTCTTGTGCTGTGTGACCATAAGGCCCTCCGTACTCATCCGCCGAGTCTGCGCTTTCAGGCGAATCTGGCGAAGGATGTCGGCGAGAACGACGGGTGTACGCGTCCCGTTCCTGAACCATATGTCGTCTTGCTGAGTGTCGGCGGCTTGTGGTTGAGGTCGGGCCACGTATCGTACTGTGAGGGCGAGGATGACGTGACGTCCGGGGCCGTGATGCTGAATCGGACGGCTTTAATTCGTCGGGATACGTGAGATGCGCCCATTCTTCATAAGGTTCATTGTAGCCGTGGCTTTCAGAGTCGGAAATTGGAGATACCTGTACTCCAGAGGAGTCCTCCTCATCAGTTATGGAGGAACGGTCTGAACCGTGTGCGCTAGGACCAATGGTAATATTGAGCCTGCAGGTAAGTTAGTTGGCGTGACTATCAGGTTTCATTTTGGGATGAGACACACGTCATGATGGATGCCAAGAAGTCCTTGATTCCGTTTCATTACCCTCACTTCTGGAATTCAATTTTTGTACAGAGTAACGCAATGAGTTCAAATCAGCGAAATGAGTGGGATACTTCAAGGTATCCGAAATGCGCCGGTGTTGATTGAACGGCGGCAATCAGGCTCGAGATGAGTTGACTGTTATATGTATTTCACGAGTTGGGTAATTGCAGACTAGCCTGAGTTGTATGAGACGTCCTAACCCTTAATGGCCGAGGGGTATAAAGGTAGTATTCATTGTTTATGTCTGATAGTGGCGAGTACCATCCAAATGAGATTTCCCAGGTGTGCAATTGGATGTGGAATTTAAGGTTGAAATTTAGTGGGATCGGGTGCCCATCAGCTGCGGAGCACAGCAGGACTTCGAGTCTGAGGCCAGGCAACAAAGCAAATAGGAATGAAAGAGGAAGGGAGCGTCTCGCATATAGCGTAACGAGTCCGGAATGAACAGCAGGGAAGCACGAAGCGGGGATGGGACGAAATACCTTGTCACGGGGAAAATATAACGAACGAAGAATGCAGAGTTGACGGCCCGATTAGATCAACTGTTTGGGCCTACTGGGATTTCGGTAGTGGATCTTCGGGCAAGCCAGACATAAATCGAGGGCAAGTTTTTATTTTTAAGATGGCGTCACGGCTATTATTAAGGTATTATTAGGCACTGAGCTGGCAGCCCTCTCTCCCTTCAGGTGTTAGCCAGTCCGCTGCCCAAATGCCCAATCATTTCCATGTCGAATTGAGGTATTGTACTCCGTACTCGGTCTCCACTAATGATACTGGTACGTAGGACTAACAGAGTGAGTGCTACCCACCAGAGTGCCAGGCTACTTGCAACAGATCCCCACTTTGTGTCTTTGTGTGTGTGTATGTGTCTGTCAGTAACTTCAGTGCACTTTTTGTATCTTTCAAGGTCAGGTGTGTGTATGTAGCTATTACTTATATACACCTCCAAGAAGTAAATAGTCACTCTTCAGGTACAGTGATAGATAAGCAGGGGAAATCAGAATTGCATGCGTCGTTAAGTACGTCAGTGTCGAATGGGAGGTTCGCAAAGACGCCTAGTCAACTCGAATGCCTGGTAACAACTGATTACCGTACCTGCGAGGTGTGACGGCGCGATTCGATCGGCCCTACTACACAGTACTACTAGTCACTACGAAGTATAGACCCATAATTACGAAGGGCAACATTCACACAAAGTACAAGATCAACCCGTTTTACGCGCCCGATGGCATAAGACGAGCTCCACCGGTTTGAATCCAAAGCAAGTTCATCGCTGTCATGCCACAGATTCTAGAAGGATCCGCTCTCTAGACACAAACTGAATTAGCAAGAATAACTGCGAAGAATGAATAACAACCGGGCAGTGGTGTTAAGAGAGATAGGAAGACATATAGGCCATCTTAGACCTGATGTCAGGCTATTCGCGATGTTTGTAAGAGATATATATGGGAAGAAAAACGTTTACCTATCTATTTGCTCGAGAGCAATGCTTAACTATTGTGGGCTCGACAGCTAACGGACTATTATTATAATTGCAGAGCGCCACGAGACACCCAATTTACGTGACAGAAAGGCTATAGGGGAGATTTGTCAAGCCGGTGAAGGAGCTCCTTCGCCGCAATGAGCTCGCCTTGGTTATCCTTCCAAGCCTGATGGTCTGAAGAACGGGATCTCACAATCTCATCGAGTCTGCTTCTTGCGAAAAGGGTCAGCTCGTCGAGGAGTTTGTCAGTAAGAAGGCTTGCTTGAGCCGGTGAAGAGTCACGAGAGTGATCCATTAGACGTCTGTTCCTTCCCAGTAGGGACGTCGCCTGCTTCAGCATCAGTCTTGTATTCAACACCGATCAAGGTAAAATATTAGGGGCCCTACTGAGACCAATCCGTAAAATCCCCGCAAATAATCGGTGCAGAGTTCTATGCTGCGAGAGAAATGATGTATCGACACCTCCAAAAGCTGGGAACAATCCGTTGTTTCAGAAGCACAGGCACCCGAATACAAGATTTCGCCGAGGAACGCATGAATCTAAAGTTGGATTGAATCAGCTTTCGGCTCACTGCCCTTCCCACGGTCCTATATTCATACATTCCAAGAATTTGGCACAATTAATAAGGCCTCCTCAAGACAGAAAGCTGCCTGTGAGCTCATCCCCTGAGAGTGGTAGAGATCTGCAAGTTCGCACCAAGCCTCCGCATCTGTTGGGACTGCGTCTAGGAGGTTGATGAGACTAGAAATGGCATCCACAGGCCTGGACAGCGAGCGTAGGAGCGCGATCCGACGCTTTAGTACGGGCTTCCTTGTAGATTAGCATCGAGTCTGTTGAGTGGCAGGAAGGACGGACCAAGTTTACGGGGTTTTCGGAAAGCGCGAGGTCATAAGTTTGCAAGCATTCTTCAAGTCTGGTAGGATTCTCAGCGACTGCTTCTTCATACATGCCCCTCAATCCAATTATTCTCTCATCAGTCATGCCAAATCGAGCTGCTAGTTGCTCAGTACAAAGTAGCGCAGATTTGTCGTCCCCCGACTGTAGGCATGAAAACAATAGTTGCTCTACTACACCATAGTTCTCAATCCCTCGTACCGATGAGGGTGCGACCGTTTCCACACTGGAAGACTGACGCTTAAGTATGAGAGGTGCCTTCTGTGCCAGATGAAAAGTGGTTATCAAATTCGAACCATTCGCGAGATGGGGCTCAGGAGTCGTCTGCATGTTATGGAGCCGGTGATGAAGTAGCTAGGACTGTCCACAGTGACAGTTTCTGATCTTGTTTTTTTGAGAGGAGGATATTTGGATCAGGATAGAATGCGAATATCCGAGCCAATATCTGTTGATGTGCTAGCCAGAAATGGGAATGATATGATTCGACAATGCTGCCAGGTGGTAGTATTCATGTTGTTCAACATTATCAGTCAACCAAGGTATCGCTTTCTTTATGCTGGTAGCTCCCGTGACTAGTACTTAGTAGTTAGGCTGCTTAGTACATGGATGGCCCAACAAACCAATAGGATCTAAGTAACATTGTTAGTCAGCTGCCAAGTCTGCCGTATCTAGTTAATTAGAATGTAGTTAACGTACGTACGGTACGTACGTAGTTCTCATCCTCCCTTGTAGTACTTACTATAAAAGGGTCATTTCATAAGACATAGATAGATCAGTAATTGTAGAAGCCATTTGAATATGAAATACCGAACAGATACATTTAGTCTCTGTAGTAACTTATAGAGCTTTTTTAGAGTCCTTCATCTACTATTGATTAATACTATTATAGAAGCTTAAATGTTTAGATTTTATGGTTACCATATTCTGCATGATTCGAAATTCATAAATATACTAGCAATTGGCCATAATATATATAAGATATACACGGAGTACTTTATCTCAATTACTATGACGATCTTGTGGTGGATATAGCTTAATCTAAGAAAGATTGTCTTTTGTATGGCGTTACATGGGTGGCTGACACAGGCGGGTACTAGCTGAGCATTAGAAACTACATTTTAATTGGTTGATTATCAGTTGACTAACTAACTAACCAACTTGGGCAAGGAGGGATGTTACCCGCCGACTGCCCGGTATAGGTATTAGATAACTAGCTACTCCGCAGATACGCGAGTAGTACTCCGTAGTCTGTACTCAAAACTGTATGGCGTGAGCTACTTATGTGACTGCGCCTACCTCGCATGCCCAGTGTCTCATACCAGATACGTAACCCAACGTCTGCAGGTACTAATAAAATCAATCCAACCAACATAAACAAGCCTTACCAAATGCCAGTGGGGTTTGCGCGCCAGTATCAGCCCAGGCACAATGTCAGCGCCCATTACTCTAATATCCTTGTTAAATGCTAATCCGGGTCAAACCAGGTTTGAAAAATCACTCTATGATCTTATAAAGGGTCTCCGACACCACAAAGGAACAGAGGAAGAATATATACAAGATAGTTTGCGAGAATGCAAGACCGAAATCAGATCACAGGATATGGGTACGTGCGTACGAATTCATTCAGCTCGGCTTGCGTAAAACTTACTCCTGGTAGACAAAAAGGCCACGGCACTCCTGAAACTAATATACTTGGAGATGTTTGGTTATGACATGTCGTGGGCATCGTTCCATGTTCTGGAGGTCATGTCGTCCGCGAAGTATCTACAGAAACGCGCTGGGTACCTCGGAGCAGTCCAGAGTTTCAGACCAGATACAGAGGTGCTGATGCTTGCAACAAACCTTCTAAAAAAGGTCATAGACTCCCATTCAATGAAGTGGTAACTTTCCGCTGACTAGCATATTATAGGATCTCGTGTCTCACAGTATACCGAATATGTCCCTTCCACTGATCACACTACCAAACATCGCAACGACATCCCTCTCAATGTCTTTACTTCCAGACGTCTTATCTCGAATCTCTCACTCACATTCCGTGGTGCGGAAGAAGGCTATCATATGTCTCTATAGACTGGCTTTAGCTTACCCTGATGCACTCAAACTAGCATGGCCTAAGCTCAAGGAGAGGCTCATGGATGACCAGGAGGACACCAGTGTGACTACGGCTGTGCTCAACGTTGTATGTGAATTAGGTTGGCGGAGGCCTCATGATTTTCTGCCACTTGCTCCAAGATTCTTTGAGCTGCTGGTAGATGGAGGTAATAATTGGATGGCCATCAAGATAATAAAGCTCGTACGTTGGTCCCCATGCTCAGATCATATCACGTTCCTAACAGTCATAGTTTGCGACTTTGACGCCTCTCGAACCGCGATTGATACGAAAGCTGCACCGTCCATTGGTGAACATAATCCAAACGACCACGGCCATGTCATTACTCTATGAGTGCATCAACGGTCTGATTCAGGGTGGTATACTTGACTTCGATGCGGGGATCGAAGAAAAGGATGAAATTGCAAGTCTGTGTGTTGGCAAACTTCGGGGCATGGTAGTTTCTGACTCGGATCCAAACCGTGAGCGCTCCTTCTAAAACACAAACATGAGAATAATTGAACCAGAGGAGAGGCTAACAGAGAAGCACAAGTCAAATATGTGGCGCTCCTGGCCTTCAACAAGATCGTGCTCACATATCCAGGCCTAGTGTCATTGCAACAGGATGTGATAATGCATTGCTTAGATGATGCCGATATATCCATCCGTCTCCAAGCACTTGAGCTTGCAGCAAGAATGGTCACGAGTGATAGCCTACAGTCAATCGTTGGTCGGCTGGTTTCCCAGCTTATGGATTCCCGGCCACTCAAGAAGGGAAGCCACCTTGAACCTGGGGATGGATACCCCGAATGGGAGAATGATAAGCAGCGAAGTGAATGGACGAATAAGGCGCCACTTATATTGCCGCCAGAATACAGGGTTCAAGTCATACATCGCATTTTAGATATATGCTCCTTTGACAATTACTCAAACCTGACAGACTTCGAATGGTATGTGGACGTGCTGATACGGCTGGTAACCCTTCTCCCGGCAGACAGCGAGGATACCTTTATGACGAATGCTACACATAATGAGCAAGAAACTTTGTCTCAGAGCAACATAACGGACCGAATCGGCTCAGAGATACGGAATATTGCTGTCCGTGTTCGAGATGTTCGAATGGAAGCGACTAGAGCTGCGGAGTCTCTAATTCTTATTGACAACAGGCAGACCCTGTTCTCTGGAGTACCAATGTCGAATAATAGTGCTCTAGGCCCCCTTGCATGGGTCGTTGGGGAGTATGCTCAATACCTCTCGTCGCCTAGACAGACTCTTTACTCGTTAATAGACGTGTCCAACGTTTCATTGCCAGCAAAAACTCTTTCCCTCTACGTCCAAGCTATACCCAAGATATTCACCCAAATCGTTTGCAGCGGTGGTCGAGACTGGAGCTCGAGCAAAAGGAGCGAGGTTGCACTCAATCTGGCCCGAATCATCGACTTCTTGGAAGCCCTGGGGGCACATCCAGATTTGAATGTGCAGGAAAGGGCCATCGAGTTTCTAGAGATTATGCGATTAGCAGCTGACGCTGCACGCTCAACGAGTCTAGATACCCACGATACCCCGTTTTTGCTATCTTCGGTGATTCCTGGTCTTTTCGATGGCCTCGAGCTAAACCCGGTCTCTGTTAATGCCCAGAAGAAAGTTCAATCGCCAGACGAGCTGCAGTTACACCAGACATTTAATGAAGATCTTTGGGTGCTCTTCAGTCATGAACATGGAAATTCTCACGAGAAAGAGAGTAAACTGCCATTCCATGAATATTATTATAGTCGAGAGACATTTGTCCCGGATAAGCAGGGCATGGACAGCACATCAGATGATTTGCAACTGATGCCGTTTGCGTCCCCCGGACTGGATCAGGTTGAGGATCAGGCCGCCCTCGTAAGGCGGAAACACTACCGAAAAGAGCGCACTCGAGATGACCCATTCTACATTGGAACCGAAGATGCGTGGACCGCTATATCTGAGCCCTCCCGCCCCCAATTGCAGATCTCGGACGAAGGCGAGCTAAACATCGACGCCATTCCTATCATTGATCTCAAATTGAGTGAAACGAGAGAACGACACAGCGATCACATGTCTTCTCCCCCGCCTGAAGAGACCCAGTCCACGGCCGGATCACGACTTAGAAGATACCATGTAATCCCGGATGAGATGATCGGACACGAAGAGGAGCTTGGTGTCAAAGACACTAACTCCCTTAGCAAATTAAATCGATCACCGCTTTTAGTGGATTCGAGCGGTTTACAGCGCCTCACTTTAGGGGAGGAGGGGGTATCCTCAGGATACACGCGAAGCGTCCCAAAGGCCGAAGATGATGCGGAAATGGCCAAGGCAATGCAGCAAGTGGAAAGGTTCCGACTGGAATTGCAAAGGGAGTCAGAGCGCGTCCATCCGACAGGGGTTCCCTCCGAGGGAACATTGGTCAAAAAGAAGAAACGGGTAAAGAAGACTACGGTCCCTGTTTCTCGGGATAGTGGACAGGAGCATGAACCAGTTGTAGATGGAAATAGTCAGCGCAAGCCGAAGAAGAAGAGGCCGAAGAACCAAAGGGTGGTGACATCTTCTTGAGGATGACTGTCAATCAATATAACTTGAAATTAAGAGGAATAAATTCAGGTAGTCACCATAGTAGTGTCTAATCGAAGTTCCGCACATGCGACCTGCGCTTTTCACGGCATGACAAATAATAAGATACCAAAACGTCGGTAGCACGCAAAACCAGAACGCGCAAAACAAGAGACTCGGGATATCAGTTAGGTGCATCACTATTATCGCCGCCGCTGTTCTTAAAAGCAACTTTAACCGTCTTTACAAGCTTTCATGGTTTCAGAGCATTAAGCGGCTGATGCTTGCGACCACGGTGGACCAAAGCTTCGGTACGATCCCTAGAACTTCAAGGAAGATTCCTCCACAGACAACGAACGCGAGAATGGCTGTCCTAAAGTTAGCCTTGGTGACTGAGGTGGCCGTAAAGCAGTTCGCAACATACCCACCCACACAGTGGACACAGGCGACCTTGGACTCTGCTTTGACTTGACAACTGTCTTGCCTTTACCACGCTTTGCAGATTCCTGCTTCGCGAACCTTTCGTTGGCCTTCCTTTGCTGGGGTGTTTGAGCCTAGGTATTCAGTCAATATATTGTAGCTCAACGTTTCGAGGCGATCGGGGCTAAATGAACTACCATGACTGTCTGCGTTGTGTAAACGAAACCAAATGATATAGGACTACTATGCCTGTAAGGGAAGTAGTGAACTCGATGGTACTATAGACACATAGAAAGTAACAAGACAATTCTTAGCGACTCCAGAAGTACATGTCACAGCTGTAGGTGGTTATTAGCTCTACAAAAGGCCACGTTGTACCAAACCACTCCGTATGTGCTGGAAAGTCGACCACATACCTAGCTGAGTAATCCTACCAGTCATGTGCGAATAGGGGTAGCTCAGCTCCGACAGTGTCACAATTTAGACTAGCAAATCAATGCTTAGTGCTGCGTGTACAGAGTGTATGTATGTGTAATCTGCTAATCTGATGACTGGCTACATACTACTGTGCTGGTGTTTTATTAGTATAGCAATTAAGTGATTATCCTATGATCTAAATTTTTTTTTAGAGGATAGATAATGTACAATAGGTGCTCAAAAGTCTCAGAACATTCAAGAATCCTTAAATTTTTAATAATATTAACTCTCTCAATTATAGAGATATAGTTTTGTAATTCAAATTAAATATAAATAATTATTATCTCTCCAATATTTATTCAAATATATAAATGTATATATATTACTAATTAAATAGTCATCTTAATATTTTCAAATCTAATTGTAAATCTTTCGAAGCAAATATTATTGAATCTTCATATAGAAATATATATATTTTATTAAAAAATAGAATATATACATATTTCTAATATATTTTACATATAAAGTTTTTTATAGGATTGAATTTCATGTTGTAGTGATTTTTTATAAAAAATATACAAAATTATTTAATTTTCTTCGGATTTTTTGTATGGAGTTACATAGAAAATATATATTTTTCTAATTTAATTAATATTGAAATTAAGATAATCTCACAACCAAAAACTTAAAAATCAATATATTGGTAGAATATAATTTCCTCAATATTTTTAACTATATAATTAAGTTCTTGAGAAAATATAATAGCTTATAATCTTCTAAAGTGTGATAGGATCTACTTGTTAGAGTAAAAAACCTGTCAGCTAAGTATGGAATAGACTACTAAATACTGTAGATTCATTTTTTAATAATAATAATAATATATATCAATGAAATGAATTAAGTCTTAAAGAATTAAAGATCCAGGCAAAAAGATTAATATCTTATAAATACTAGAAAACTATAGAATTACTATTAATAATTTATAATTATTATTATTATCATATATTATTCTGATAATTTTACTTTTGATAATTAAATTATTTTATTATAAATAACTATTTTTCTAATAGGTCAAGTTATTTGATTTAAATATTAGAAATAATCTCATATATTTTAATTTAGAATAGCAGGAACCCGATAATAAAAAATAAAAGATTTATAAGATATATTATAAAACTAAGATTATATATTATTTCTGTATAGTTTTATTAATATTTAATTATATTTATATCAGTAAAGACTTAATCATAAAAAATAAAGAAAGAAATTTCTTATATATTACTTTTTTGAGGCGCCTTTTAATTAAATACTGTTAGAAGTCACTTCTTGGTTCCAAAAGTACATCACCTGTTAGACAAAAAAATAACTAATATTTAAACAGAGACCTCCAGTCTCTAAGATTTTATATATAATAAGTAATTAACAGGCAGTATAAATTCTCTAATAAAAATTTATCTTATAATATTATCTTTTTTTTCTAGTATAGGATTAGATCAGAAAACCAGTATACTTATAAATTTAAAAAAACTTAGAATTGAGATTTTTAATTAAGTTATTTTGTTACAATTTTATGTTTTATTCTTATTCTTACAGCTTCTTTATTAATATTTTTATTATTATAATAATTTCTAGTTTTTTTATTTTTTATTTATAATTCTCTAAATACTATACTCTGTTTATTTTTTTTATCTTATATATATTTAGTTTTTATAGAAAATCCCCCTTCTCTATAACTTTTTTTTATTATTTACTTAATATAATCCTCACTATTATTTTAAATAAAATCTTATTTTTTTATATAAATTTATTTTATATTAACCTCCTGGTCATATAACCAGTCTAGATTTTTATAAAAAAGAATTTTCTTTTTTTATTAATAAATAAAAGTCTTTTAAATCTTGACCAGATACTGGATTAGTCTAAATCAAAGATTAATATAAAACAAATATAAACTTACTAATATTTATACTTAATAGAAATATAAAAAATAATTTTCTTACACTTTATTTTCTTTTTACATTTCTGTGATTAACTCTAATATCTTATAATATATAAATTATATTTATTTTAATATTTTAATCTATTTTATTACCTTTTCTATTTTATCCTATCTTATTCTTTAATATAGTTATATAACTCGCGGGTTCTTTTTATCTAAGTTTTATAAAATATAAACTTATTTTTTTTATTTTTTTAGGACCTGCAGTTTTGTCTTACTTAAACTAGATAAATAAAAATCATATTTTCTTTATTTTTTTATTTTTTTCTTAAATTATATTCACTCTCCTTAGTATTTTTCTTTTTTTTTAAATATAAAAGAGATTTTTTTATATGATTCTTCTCTCTTTTCTCTTTTTTTAATATAATTTAATTTATATTTCTTATTTATTCAATTTATATTTAATTTTTTATACTGTAACTGCCATGTCCGCTGTTTTATTTATTAATATATATCAAATATTTAAAAAATATTTATTTTTTGAAGAAACTAATCTTAACCCAATTTGAAAATATTAATTCTATTAAATCTTTATAAACTTTATAATGATCTTTAATAAAAATTTATAATAAAAAATTATATTACTCCTGCTCTAATAGCTCCTGGCTTTATTATTTTTATTTAATATTTATTAGAATAGATTAAGAAAAATAAATATAATTTATCAGTTTTATAACATCTGATTTTAATATAATTTTATTCAATTATAATTCTTTTTTAAACCCCGTGATAGCGCTGTAAATTCTTAAATTATTTTTAATATTAATAATAGTATTAAGAATTTTTTTTATTTTACTGTGGTTTTCTTATATTAGGGATAAAATAATACCAGAATAATTTTGTTATATTTCTTTTTATATCCTAATTACATAAAAATCTTTTTCAATTTTAATAAAAATATATTAGTTTTAATTATAGTTCTTCCTAAAAACCTTTTCATATGTAAACAATAATAATATCTTAATATATTCTAATTAACTTTTAAATAGTTTATATATAATTAATTTATTTAATTTAAAAATAAAATCTTTATTTTTAGTTTTTCAGTTACCAAGTTTTATTAAAAATAATTTTTACTAGATATTCTTTTTCTCTGTTAATATAAATAGCTGAAAACTATTAATTATTTTTTTACTAAAACAGAAACTAATCTATAGTTACTAATTATAATAAATATATATAAAAATATTATAAATTCCAGTAGATATATGTGGTAGGATCTACTTGTCAGGGTAGAAAACTTGTTGATTAGATAGGGAAACAACCACTAAGCACCATAGATTCATATATCGATAACAAGGTAGCCTATATCCACGAGATAAACTGATCCTTGAGAGATCAGTAACTTATTACAGAGTAATCGGCATCTTATAGATATCGGGAAAGTGTGTGCTATTAATGATCTTACAACTCCCATAACTACTATAATACGTCATCCCGATGACCTTGACCTCGATAGCTGGGTTATTCTATCACAATATATCAAGACAGATAAAATAAGTTTTTAAGATTTTAATAAATAATAATTTAATATTTAGTATTTTTTGATCCAGTTTCTCATTTAATTGATTAATATTAATATTCCTAAATTTAACTAGATCATATCTTTAATCTGGTATCTTAAAATAAATATTTATGTTTTATTTTTTTTATTTTTTATTTTTTATTAAATATATATTGATAATATTTTAATCTAGTCACTAGCTTCTTTAATAACATGAATAATATATTCTCTGACTTGTACTGGATTCCCGAAAGTTTTATTATATAAAATAAATTAATTTTTAATAAAATTAAATAATAATAATCTATATCCATGGTTTAAAAAATACAGAAATATATTAATTAATATTAGAATTTAGATATTAATAATTAATTTAATAAGTAGAAGAAGCTGACTCTAGTTATTTTTATTACATAAATTATAAATTTAAAAATAGATTCTTATAATATTATTTATTCAATAGCCCTGTCTATCTGGAAGTAATAAATTATAAATAATTATTTCCAAAATTTACTTATAGACTGTATCCTATAATCAGAAATAATTATTTATAAAATATTATATTATCTTATATAGTTATCTAGAATTATTTATATTAAATTTATAACTATAATTTTTTATAGCTGCTAGTATTACTTTCTTTATATATTAATTAATAATCAT